TGCAATGAATGGCTTTTATTATATAAATACGCTAACATGATCATCGATGTATGTATATACATGTAGGCTGTTGGGTTTTTAAATTATCGGGAAATTTTATCCATTTTGTGTAATCAAGATAAAAAAAAAGGAATCGCCCAAGTCAAGGCCAACCCATTAGTCACTTGTCCTCAATATAGCTCCCTACGTAAGATGTAAGGCAAAAGATTACGTAAAGATATCGTTGTTAAGATGGTGAGGAATTATCCATTAATAAAACTCGGCCAATGTAGATACAGTTATGAATTATAAGATTTAACCCACTTGGGGTTGTAATAATCTACAAAACTGAATCAGCTTTTATCAATTGCCAACATCATACCTAAGCTAAAACAATCAATAAGATCTACATACACCAACCAGCAAGATTATTAAGTGAAAGCTGTTTGGGATTGATTAGGGAAATGCCGTAGCCTGGGTATAGAGAGAAAAACTAATTTCTTTTTTTTAATATACAGTAATTATTATACAAATATTTATTGTACAAATGTATAATTTCTTTATAAGTTATATAAGTTATTGAAAAGAACACTCAAGATCCCAGATAAAATCCACGTAGTTGAATTCAAAAATTCATAAATAAAAATAAACAAAAAAAAATACTATAACGACGTCGAGGTAATAAACTCAAATCAGTAAAAATGAAACAAAAGTTAATGCTAGAATCTATAAGCAACAACAACATCCTCCTCTGAAAATAAGACAAGTTTTATAAAATATTCCCCTCCTCTTCCCCTTTCAATACAATACGAAAAAGATAGATATCAATTCATAATTTTTCGGGATTCGAGTTAATACCCGACATGTTTAGGGCAGTGTGAAAGGAGTTTTAAAACCACGATCAAATTGTAGAAATTAACTAGCTATTAATTTATAGAAACTAAACTGATTACACCCGATCAAACAATGCGTACTTCGCCACCTCTGTGATGCGTATCTTTGTCTGTTACAAATGTAATAAAAAATTTTGTACTGGTTGAGTACTGGTTGAGTTCAAAATATTTATTTTTTGTTGGATGTTATTCTGAATTAAGAAAATGTCAGATACCTCAAATATTATGGGTCAATACAATAGGGTAATATACGTATGCCGGGAAAGTCGACATAGACGCGTTAACGGACGTATAAATTCGTATTAAAACGTATCGAAACAATGAATTTCTCAATATTACGACAGGATTCGTAATCCTGTAGTTGTCAAAGGTTCGGTTTAATTCGCGATTAGCCTATTATTATTATTATTATTTTAATTTTAGACTAATGAAATGAATTCTTAGACTAAAAAAAGACATTGAGCACTAGCAACACAGGCTATCGGCTCTAATTTAAATAAATGGATATTAGATAGTGAGCTTAGTAGTATTAAAAAAGTAATATATTGAATTGATATTCTGTTCTGAAGCTGATTGTAGAATGTTCAAAGGGTTAATCGTTCCAAATGCAATACTTCTAGCCGAGGAAAAGTTGAGGCAGTCGCAGAGAATGTGCTTTATAGTAAGAGTTTGTCCACAACAGCAGATTGGGGAAGAAGACTTCTTCAGGATCCATTGGTGAGTTGCAATTGTATGACCAAGGCGAATTCTCGAGAATACTTGGATCTTGGTTTTCTCAACGTTTGTTGGATATAAAGGTGGAGTTAATTGAGGGTTAATAAAAGAGTAGTGTTGATGATGGTATTGTAGATTTCCTTCTGTAATTTTCTCTTTAACTTTTCTTCCACGCGATTAGCCTAACAGGACGAGAAACATTCAAAACTTATTGAAAGAAGTTCGACGCCTTTTCTTTACTCCTTTGTGTTTGCGATGGGTCCTTTGAGTATTAATTTTGTTTATGTTTTCTATGATATAGTGCAAGTTTTGTCATTCGTTCATTTTTCAGCGATGAGCGAATCCAACACCCAAAGCTTGAAAGCTCAGCAGAATTTTCACTTTGTAACTAAAAGCTTCAACTGCTTTGCGTTGTACTTTGCAGTCAGGGTTGGATTCGTTTAAACTTTGGATGTGCTTTCACCTTCTTTCGTGATTTCTTATTGTAATGTGTAAGAAAGAGCGGAACTTACAGCTGCACAGTATTCCCAAATAAAGTGTGAGGAGTTACTTAGAGAATGTCTTTGACGCGTTTGTAGCTGGATCAATGTTTTACCAATGAAAGATTCTAAGAAGAGTTACTTAATGAATACTTTGCCACAATGAAAGAAGTGCATGAAGTTCAAATTAGGATTCTTTAAAACGAACAAGTGAAAATGCGACCAAGCTGATGCTTTCAATTTCTTTCTCTTCCGAACGAACTCAACTTTATTTAGGTACTGGCCTGACACACCGAGTCCAATAGAGACTTATTGTGTGTTGATATATCATGTTTTTCGAAAAATTTAAAAATACGTCGCTAAGGAAATAGCACTACACTAACCACTACATTCCCGCGAAAGAGGCTAGGCCACCAGACAGACATGGCGAACATAATCGTGGAACCGGGTCAGTACGGGGCGGACAATATTTCCTGCCATAGAAATCTCGGCGCAGTGAGGGTATTATTTAATATTTAATAAGGTTTTCAATAAAAGAACAAAATTTTGTCAAAATTTTAAATTGTATTTGGTACGAAAAGTAAAATCGTGTGCAACTTTTTTAGCGTATTTTGCTGTCTATAACTAGCAGACAGTAATTCGATTAAAAAAGTTTTGATCGCTTGTGGGCGAATGCATTCATGCATTTATATACAACACCTTTATCGTAAAAACACCCGATCCTCTATAATATTGGATGGGCATGGCTGATTTCTTCCACTTTCGTCCAGGTACTCTTGAATCATGTTGCATAAGCTTTGTCATGCCGAAGGTCAGGAGTATGTGTTTTAAGTTTAAGTACTGTTGGGTCTGTGTAGGTCTTTTGACCTATTTTATATAACTTTGTATTTATAATATAATTTAATTGAAATATAATACTAATATTTGTGTGTGTATTCACACAGTGATTTGTCGATTCGATTTAAAAGCGAACAGCTATTGCGAAAAGACCTAACGGGCAAAGCGAAGATATGGATTTCATACAATACAGATAATAATGACGAAAATCATTTAAAAAAGGAAAGTTGGAAAAAAAATGTTTCTCTGTAAATCTCTAGAATTTCAGCCAAATTGCCATATATGAATGATCTTTGAATGCGCTCGTCCCCACCCGCCGTCTGTACGAAAACGAACTCTATAGCATTTTTCTAATTCCTATACAGGTTATGTTTTCTTACGTGAAAAAAAATAACAAGCATTCAAAACTTTGAAACAACTTTGTCCTTCCTAAGAGATCTTAAGTGTATTCCAGTCTCAGCCATAACAGAAAAGTGACAAGAATTTCTTTCGGTCGTTTATTTTGAAAAACAAGATCATGTACATCGCGTATAAAAGTACAGGGGCGGTATAAATCGAAGGACAACTGTACCTAATAACAATGTATAGAAAACATTTCCTTTTTTTTCAAATTTACGATTTATTTTTCATTTTTCTGGCTGCCATCATCTGGCGATGAAAATATTTTTTCTATATTTTAGAATTTTATATTTCAATGAAATTTAACGCTAGTTGTTGTTGTGTGTTTTATTATATTAATTTTTTTTTTTTTTCAAATTTTAAATGGTTTTATTGAAATATATGGAGATGTAAATTTCATAAAATGTTGAAGAAATGTTGCATATGTTACGTGTTCATGTGTAATCGTAAAAGAAGCTTACTAGAGCGTGTAGTGAATAAAAAATTTACAAAGCCTTCGCTTTTCACTTCTTTTATAATCTATTTGGTTTTCTTGAATTATATAAACAATCTTTTCAGCTTATTTTTCTTCTAGGTTCACTTTTTAAACTTAATTTTAAATAAACTCTTTAATTTGAATTTTTAATTTTTAATTTAAATTTACTGTAAATTAATTATGTTTTTTAAATAAATGACATGATCTTTCTGTTCTTTTTTTTTTTCTTTTTTTGTTTTTTTAACTCTTTTGTTTTTCTTATGTATATCAAGTGACTTGCTTTTTTAATTGAGCCTTGTCGTCTAAAGAAAATGGGAAAAAGTGCGGACCGCTCTACTAACATATGCATGCGTATACAGCGAGAGAACGCCGCAATCATTTATGATGGCTTATAACTAAGATAAGCAGAAGATTAAAATAACAACATATTATTGGACAGTGTTGATAACAAAACTGTCTGAATTATCTTTATCGACACAACAAAATTCAGCGATAGCGCCATATTGTTGAAGGTAATTGCAAAATAACAATAATAGCCAAAATTGGTTTATAACAATTCGATCACTTTTGAAACAAGAAATTCAAACCGATCTAATTGCACAATCGACAGATAGCCGATTGGTGATACGGTCCTTTTCTTTCTTTGTTTTGGAAACGGGCTCTCCACTGTATATGAAATTGGGGCACAAAGGATTTGACTGAATAGAAGATTATATAACGCCGCCGTCTGTAGGGCTTTATGAAGTTCCATCAATTTTTATCTGGCTTACATCGACGATAGATCGTTCACTTTACGATTTTAGCTTTTATTTTCAATTTTTTTTTTTACATTTATATATAATTTTAATTTTTGTTTTTTCTTTTTGCATGCTTTTATTTTCTCTAAATGAACAGCTTAATGTTGTAACTAATTGTTTATAAATTATTTATTATTGGTATTATTGTTTTATGCTGTTTATTAATTAAACGATTGTTGTTGTTTTGCTTTTTCCTTTTTAAACTCTGTCTTTATCATCCACTGGACTCCACGCGACCTTTTCGCTTTACACGTTACTGTCTGTTATTATTGACGATAATTATTATTGCTTTTGTTTATTTTATTTCTCAGTTTTTGTGTATGTATTATCATTTATTTCTTTTATTATTTTTATTTTCATTATATAGAAATAAATGTAAATATTTTTGCTGCTGGCGTTGTTGTTGTTCTTGCAATAGTGATTTGTAATGGATGTTTTTGTTGTTGCTATTGTTGTTGGTGCTTTTTCTTAAAGGAAATAATCGGGTGTTCTTCGTGTAACGTGCGGTTCACCACGTCTAGGTGCTGGGTCGAATTGGAGGCTGCAACAAGAGATTAATAAAGTCATTAAAGCGAAAACAACCAAAGAAACAAAAGAAAATTATAGTAATTTAGTCAGAACTTGAGTTTGACCTATTATACTATATTGCGATCTGATCGCTACGCTTCTTAAGATAACATAGGTAATATAGGAGGGTCTTAAACCTACAAACCCAAAAGCGCTACAAACCCGAGGGAAAAGAACGAGAGTCTCTTTGTTAACTGCAGACACATACCGATGGACATTTCCAAATAGTTTTCATACATAATCGGACGAGTGTTGAAAGATAAAATTTAAGATTCTAATTGTAGATAAAGTGGCGGCTTGTTGATACGAGGAGATTATGCTTTGAAATGAAGTAAGTGAATACAAAAAAGGACAATTGTTCATGTAGGTTTGTAGGCTTGAACAAATCTCAAATTTTCTTGCCAGCGGAGAGTACACTGTGTCGGTTGCGTGACTCTTATTAACTAGACCTCTTATTCTTAGACGTTAACGTATTCATGTTTATATCTTACAATGAAAATTTGAGTGAATCATCTAATTCCATAAGGGCCGCCTGATTACCACAACGATAACAATAATTTGGCGCTGAAAATATTGTGACAACATTACGATCGTGACACCAGTTGTAGCCTTCCATAACCAATTGATGAGCGCGTGATACCAATGTTAAACCATTTGTGTTATTAAATGTCTCCGAAATGTCCTGAAAAGGAAAAGCAAAAAAAAGTTGCACGCTCGTCTCTTCCATAACTTGTTATAAAAGCTTTCTTCAAAAATACCTGACCAAATGTGTAACCAGCTCCACGTGGAGAAATACCCCAACCACCTCGGTCATCCGGATCCGACCAAAGTAGATCGCACATGGGACCTTCGTGTGGCACTTCTTGCAGGCGATCTAGCGCACGTATATGATCCAAACTATCAATTGATGGACTGAGGCCACCATGCAAACAAAATATTTGCCCATCCACCAAAGCAGTCAGTGGTAGATAATCAAATAAATCGGTGAAATATTTCCAAACATTGGCGTTACCGTATTTACGCAGGCATTCATCGTAAAATCCATAGACTTGCGTAATCTGTCTCGACTCGTGATTGCCACGTAATATGGTAATTCTTTCACGGTAGCGTACTTTTAGTGCTACCAATAAAGTGACGGTCTCAACTGAATAATACCCACGATCTACATAATCGCCCATAAAGAGATAATTCGTGTCAGGTGATTTGCCGCCTATCCGAAACAGTTCCATAAGATCGTGGAATTGACCGTGTACATCGCCACACACTGTAACCGGGCATTTCACTTCTTGAACATTTGATTCCTTCGACAGAATTTCCTTGGCCTAAAAAAATAAGGTTTTTGTTTTTTTTTAATACATTTTTTTACTGATTTAACTCATGACATACGAAATAGATGGCATGAGTAGAATTGGAAAAAGTTTATAGTTTTCCCATATAAAGGCGTTACAACAAACTGCATTATCTGTTGAGTGTTTCATGTTCGGCCATTGCTCACTATAAAGGTTTTACTAATCATTAAACCAAACCTGTCTCTACCATTTAATTGTAAGCCCATGCGTAACTCATAAAAACTTAAATAAAACAAACGAGAGAATTTCTAGAGAAAGATGCGATGACAATTTGCATCATAAGCATACATCAACAAATGCTGTGCAGTCAAATGCTTTCTTACCGTCAAAACGCGCCCTTGTAGTTGCTTATAGAAATTCAAACGTTCACGAGGAAAAAGTAGAAAATTTAAACCGAAAGTGTAAAAGACGAAAGATTGACTTAATACTTCAACACTTACTGGAAATCCATTTGAATAACGGATGATGAACTTTGGATATATATGTGGACGTCAGACCAATGCAGTAGAAAAACTAAAAATTACTTTAAACGGAAATAAATAAACGATAAGCGTGTGCAACAAACCACATTTTGTTATATACTTTTTTAATCAAAATGTTTGCGTTAACTGCAAAAATTCTCTATAGATTATATCGTAATAAAAAATGTTATCATCTCAAGTGTCATGAAATAAGACAAAGTTTCTATTTGGTACAACTTTGATAGAGCAATTATGTGATGTACATTTATTTCGAGCATTGTTACACTATTAGGTCTACAAAGTCATATACTTCTTACGCAATATTGTTACATTTTTGGTAGAATTTAAGTTATTTAATTAAATTCGAAGAAAGAACGCGCACTGATTCATTGCCACAGTTGGATATAGTTGCTAGATGCTAGCCAAGGTTAAAAGCCTATTCAAACAAAGATCACTTTTAGTCTTTATTTAACATAGTGTATGAGGACACCCAAAATATTACTCTCATATTAATTGCCACAGAAGGCAGGATAAGTGCATGGTGTTAGTCATAAAGACCGTTTTTGTGTAAAGAATGGTGCCAAGTCATTTCCTTTTCGTGTTTTGCTCTCGCATACTGTTCAGTAGAATAGTAATAGTAAAAGTGAAATAAAATCAAGTGTGAAACGAAATTTTTATTTTATATGCATCTACAATAATCATATAACTATATTACATATTTCATCGTCTGTCATCATCTATAGATAAACAATAGTATAATTTGTTATTCGCTTAGTATCGCACAGTGCCAATGTGTACGTAAACCATGACTGTAAAAAATACAACGCCAAGCTACGGTAAATACTTATGTGCGCGATATTTTCGCAGCAAATGTAGATAGGATAGGATATCACTGTACTCCTCAAACATTTTGAATGACAGTTACTGACTTACAAAGACATAAGAAATCTAATTTTTATTCGTAGTATAATCTGCACCCATATACCTAGATATTTGTATGACACAGTCCAGTTTCTTAAATCTAAATGTACAATGAATTTGGTATAGCGAGATCACAAGTACTTTGCGTCTTTAACACTATAAAAATATGTAATTGTTTATCTGCAGGTATCAGCAAGGTCAGCATGTGCGGGTTTGCTATTGAAGTTAAGTCGGTCTCTAGCATTTGTCTCGATGCATGGTTACTACAATCTAAGGTGAAATATCTTCTTCTAGTTTGTTATTATTAGTGTATGGTATGTGAATCGCATCTGTTGTGAAACCTGGAGGATTTTGCTTTTGTTAAGCACTAATCGGTTAATCGGGAATTCTTTCTGATTTCATTCTCCTAACGGTGCACAAATGTCTTCATATATTGCACCGTAACGGATGCAGTGTTATTGGTACAATAATAATAACACTTTATCATAGCAGTGTTATTGGTGCAATAATAACACACTCATCGTTCATATTAACTCTAATTTCAATGTTAACTTAATTTCAGTTTAGTTTTTAAATAAATAAAGAAATGTGCAAACAGGTATTCAATACTAAGATCAAGATATTACATATATTGCATCGATAATATATAAAATATTTCTTCTCCTCTCCCTAGTCACCTACGCGTTCATAGTGAGAAAGCCTTCAAGTCGACTCTTAAACTTGAAAAATTTGTTTTAATAAAGCGAATATTTAAAAACGCGAAAAAGTTATTATACCGGTGTTTAAAAAGAAAAAAAATTAATATGAAATTAATATGAAATTAATTTTTTTTTAAACTTTTTTCGCTATAACGGGGATTTGAAAATAAATATTCCACTGTATATACAGGTAAAGTTATCGCGGCATCCCCTACATAGGCGCAGTGAGACGCATGGTGAGGAATAAGGTTTGTTGCTAAAGTATCAGCCGTAATCACAATCCTACCATTAAGTTAGTTTCAATTAATATATATAGTAAGGTAACTTATTCCAAGAATTTACCTATGTCACTACGCATTATTTTTGTTTCATTTCGGCCACATACAAATGTTTGCCTTAAAACGCAATATTGTCTCTTGTTTATGTAGGAGTATGCCATCGCGAAGTTTGACGTCAACTTATAATGAAACAGAGATACCTTGAAAAGTTTTAACCAATTTTATGTAAAAACCTTACACACCACCATTGCTTATATATACGTGCGTTGAGCGCTTTAAAATCTAGGCGTAAGAACTAAGTATTACAGAGCGTTGGATAAAGCTCCAAATTTTCCGGAAGAAAAACCATTGTTCTTACACTTAATTAGTTAGGTAAATTATCTCTCTCACAACATAGTTCTCTCGAACGTTGAATCTTCGACCTATGGGCCGAAGAAAACAAAAAAGTCAAATAAGATAAGCGGCGTTTCTTCTCTAGTTTGATTCGATGCAAAGCAGTGCGGGAGGACGAAAAATAATAACTTAGCTTGATGTGAACCGCAAGGCGGCATAGTTGGGTGTAGCGTAATATTATAGGTCATATCAAGGCCGATGAAAATCGTACTGGGAAGCGTTACGTACAACAACTAACGCAATTAATTCAATTACACAAGAGAGAACGCCCAAAGAAAAGACAATGATTTTAGTCCATGACAACGCTGCCAGATGTAACAAAATGTGACTAAAAAATGTTGAAAGCGGCGAATGACGCCCCGTTCAACAGGCGCCCCGCTCCGTTACATTAACACTTGCTTCGATCGACTACTCTTCACCGGCGCAAATAACGCTTCCATTCCAGTTTTGCACATACATGTATGTATTTAGAAGAAGATTTAACCAAATCGAATCTACCACCACAATGGACAGATAACTATGACCTTATCATAGAAACTATCTCAGTACTTTTCGCATGGACACGAACTTTCTTGCGCAAGTCACAAAACTCACGAGTAATCCTACAACATTAAGGGTTATTTATTACATACGATCATGAGATGCTTTTTTTTTTGTTTTTGTTAATTTCTTAGAAAAGCGAAATGCTAAAAAGTATCCACATGAATTTTTCTTTATTTTAGATAATGATTCATGCCATTTTTAATTAAATATAATTCCATGTGAATGCCCGACTTTTGACGTCTCTAAAAATTCAATCCTGGAACACCGACATTTCCTAAAATAAAAAATCCAATAGTCTTATAAATAGATGGTGTCTCGAGATGCATGGCCTTTTGCAACGTTTTATTAAACGTTGTCGCCCAAGTCGTGCCACAAAAGAGCAGAAATCATGTTTCTGCAGAGTTCTGCACTGAGGAAACCTGCAATGCCAGTTTCACATCCAAAATATACATTTTCAGCCCATAAACCGCAACCAATACATGGAAATCGGATATACTTTCTGTACACCAAATAGGCGACCCTTATTTATGAAGTCATTTACCAAACTATGAGTTGCATCTTACATCCACGACACGTAACCGTGGGTTCATTGTTTTCCTAGTAAGTTTTAACAACAGTTTCTGTCCATTATGCAACTATAATACAAACATAAATAATGGCAAGGTGCAAACAATACATTAAAAAAAAGTCGGATCCGAATCTCAATGAAAAGTATGTGTTATTGACGTTTACTAGCGGAACCGCAAAATGGATGCCCCATACGTAAATATACATATATACATACATATATACATATGCATGCATACATCAATCAATATATACATATATATACATATTTATACATACATACATACATATATATATATATAGAGTGAGTGAATAAGTCAGTGTATGTGTGTGTTCTACCTTACTACATTGTAAAAAAAAAAAATTTTAAAAGTTCAATGAACGCCCTTTGGCAGTCATATAACAAAAAAAAAAATAGTCTTCTATTTGTTAACTCTCAAAGCTACCATAGGCAATAATGAGACGAACAATTTGCTCAAAATGCAAGTCAAGATGTCAAGTGACAGCTCCGAGTCACAAATATGTAATGCCTACACAGCCGAATTGGTCTGATGGTAGTTATTAGCGAAAATATCACGTTGTGTGTATTGAAGGCGCAAAAAGAAAAAGCAAAAGTACAATCCAATGGAGACGTCAAGTTATCCGAAACGAGTTTTATAAACAAGGAGAACTATCGAAGAGGTTTTGCTGTTTTCCTTATCAAGCAGGATTCTATTGATTTTCGGAAACGATAAGCACATCTAAGCAATGTAAAGCAAGGCGAACGACTGGAAGGCCGGAAAATGTGTTTTCAGTATGCGAAATGTAAAGCAAAATCTTTCCTCTGCAACAATTTGTTTCCCGTCAAAACCGTGCAAAAGCTTTCGCGTGAGAAACCTCATTCTAAAGCGTGCGTTGTTCTGATGAAAGTCCCATCTCATCGATCACTTGGTCGATCTGATCGCTGGAATCCTTAGGTCGGACTAAAAGTTGAAAAGACAAAAAACTTAACTCTCAAGTGATTTCCTTACACAGGCCAGGCAAACTTTTGGCAAAAGGGGTGAAACAAAGCATTTTCAAAATATCAAAAAAAAAAAAAAAAACAAATAATTTTAAAATTAATCACATTAGGT